AGAATCGTAATTTTGCATATTATGTAAAATTATGGGGATAAAAGATGGAACCGAACATTTCAGGTTACAATCTCTATGCGCTGCACCACGATATTTACCCGTTAAGTGACAGTGATCCATTACCTTATCATGGAAGCGTAATTTACCATTACAAATATGACACGTTGTTGCTGTATGGTGATTATATTGTTGTTGAATAGATAAAGCTTCCATTGGTATAGGGTTAGAATAAATGTCGCTTATACGGATAATATCTTCCCTAAGCCTAGAAATAAACATCTTCACGCAATTATCCCCCCGGTACTCTTCCATGCGATCTAAATTTTCATCATAAGAACATTTAATATGATATGAAAAACTGTGGGGATCGTGTATATTAATTTGATTGGTATAAGAAATATCAGGTTGAGGATCGCATGTAGCAATAGGTGTTAGAATTGATTCAAAATCAGCATAAATTACAAATTCCACGGGGAATTGCATATGGAAATTTTGAAATTTAACCATGTGTTTGGGGGGTTTCGGTAGAACCGTTTTAACCTTCATGCAGTTTTCGAGTTGGTGAGTGAGTAGTTTTGCTTCTGAATAAAAGAATAATAGACAGCCATCACATAAAAATTTGTGAGATTTATGTTTTGAAAGTTGAACGGAAACTAATCGCTCTAAGTTCGAAATACAACAGAAATGTCCGAAAGGTTTGTCTTTTTGATCTAAATAAAGTAAATTTGCGTGGTTGCTACGTTTATTTCTGGTCAAGTGTAGAGGACCCGTAATTTTTTCACCGATGTAAGTGTAAACATTTACACTTATATCATTTTTTTCTTCAAATTTTCTTATGTCGGTTAGAAGTAAAGGTATTCGCAAACCTCGAGTATTCAAAACTGTATTATAATGTGGATACGACTCTGGTTTAGTCACATCCACATTACGTGACTGAACCGGAAATAAACTAGCAACCACACTCCAATAAAAGCAATCTTCCTCCCTACATTTAATATTTACAATTGCATTTTTTCGAAATAATTTTTTTGGTAAATTAAAATGACACCCACCCCTTAATGGATCATACTTGAAAGTATTAATATCTAAGAAAACAACACCTCTGAATACCCACCCACTACCTTGAGTTTCTACCTCTTCGGACTTTTTCTGTAGTAGATGTGTAATAGTAGTAACCCACTCGGAGATACTACTCGACGGTGTTAAAATAAATGGGGAAATACTAAATGTTTGAGTAATAACGGGTGTGTTTACATTATTATTGCTTAAAATTATTTTTTCATACGTAGTAACTAGATCTAAAGATGTCTTCACAGCTGTATGTGTTCTTATAGCATTTTCAAATACATCATAAATGCTATTTCTGTTTTGTTTGATAAATTCATTTATGGAGCATGGATTGCTGTTTTCTATTCTATGTACATTGATGTTCTCCGAAAAAATCGATTGAACTTTTTTCGCACGCGAAATTTTTACACAATCACCTGAAATATAATTAATATCGTTAATAATTTATGTATTATATTATTTAAATTCACATTTTTATCTTACTATTTGTTTTTGATTGATTAGAGTGATACGCGTGTTCTATCCCAGTTCCGATCGTTTTGTTATTTTGACCTAATAATATAGAGTATTTTTTTATAAATTCCAATTGATAAAAATTTATTAAAAATTAATTACTTTGAATTATGACTTACTAATATCTTCAAACTCGATATCTTCTGAAAACCGGTCAATCCCTAAAAAAATATTATANAGTATTTTTTTATAAATTCCAACTGATAAAAATGTATTAAAAATTAATTACTTTGAATTATGACTTACTAATATCTTCAAACTCGATATCTTCTGAAAACCGGTCAATCCCTAAAAAAATATTATATGACTATAACATTTATTGGTTTTTTTATTTTTATTATTTTATACTAACAACTTTCGATATCACCAGGATAAACGGTTACCACTTGAACGTCCATTGAATTTGCATCTATCTTATTTGCAGCTTCTAGCACTGATATAATAATAATAATAATAATAATAATAACAGTAATAATACGATTTATCATTTTTTTTATTTCAACTTACAAAGCTTATCATCGCTGTCTCTAGTATTAGAAAATTTTGTATCAGTATTTTTTCTCTCGCTTTCCTTAACCGAATTACCTTTATCTACTGAATTACATTTTAATAATTAAAATATTTGAGTTAATATAAAATAAACGCGAATAATATTATTATGTATGCTCACCGTAAAAATTTTTCGAGGTGCTGGCACCGTAATTAACCACATTTTTCACACAAACCGATTTTATTTCATTTTCTATATTTACAGAACGCATTTTCAATACTTTATCAGTTCCTATTAAATACATTTTTAATAAAAAATAAATTTTTGAGATTTAAATACAATACTAACCTATTAACCCGTGTGTATGCTGAACATGTCTTGAGAAATTATCTTTTCTCGAAAATTTTTTCGAACACAAACTGCAGCCATATAAAATTTTGTTGTGTACTGTTTGCTCATGACGTATCCATGATTTCAAAAAATTGAACTTCATTCCACAAGTATCACACAAATAACACATAATGATGATTATGATATTGAAATAGAGAAGACTCTAAGGTGTCNAGCGTTTAATTTTGATAGTGATTTTAATCACTGTCAGATATCATTATACTTGATCCAACTATACCACGTCACAACTGTGCCGCGACCCCCCTGTGCTGGGTTTCTATATTTTACATCTTCTCATAAACCCTCGTACTCATATCCCGAGAGAAAATTATATTATATAATTTTTTTATATAGACATATATCATTTGATATATTTTTGTGAACATTTGGCTCTTTACCAGCCCACAGGAAGGATTTCAAAATGGTAACTATTTCACAAAAAATTGACTTTTTCAACTTAACTTTTGAAAATATTCCGGAAAGACCGACACTTTTATATATACCTTAAATTAAAGCATATATAATATACTTTAATTTAAAAAAAAAAATTTGACTTCTGGATTTGTCTTCATTATGAAAATGACTACCGTATTCAAAAATATGCTATTTTTGTGTTAAAATTCTGAGTTTAGTATTTTATTTTATTTTAAAATACCTGATAAGGGGAGTACACTGATTTTCATAAATATTATATAAATCAAATTAATATAGAATAGAAAGTTAAACTTATTTAGATTTTTTTGCTTTTTTTAAGTTGAGAAAAATAACATTGAAATTCGAACTAGCTTTTTTAAAATTCCCATTTTTTTAATTTGACGGAAGCGACATACGGTTACCGGTCGGTAACACTAATGTCTTACACGCTTGAGATACTAGATTCCAACCCGCCTATGACATATAATTTTATTAATTTTTTTCTTAATTCTTCTTAATTTAGAATAAATTTTCAACTCATTTGTTTTTTATCTCATTTAGATTCAATAACTTAAATAAAGATCAAGGATCACATCACTGTAGTCATCCCTCGCAAAAAAAATTTCTTTTCATATTAAAATTATTTTACTATATTTTAGGTTTTAGCTTCGATGCAAAGCTGAGAAGATATTTTTTTGTGACTATCATTTATGTTCTCTGCTCTAACTTGACCTTCTTTTTTCAACGATACGTCAAATGATTACAATTTATATTTAAACTTTTAAGGTTTATTTAGTTGAAGATATTACCATCAAAAATTGAAAAAAAATTCTAATTTATCAATTAAACAGTTACTTATTCCATGTTCTCCATACAGAAAATTAAAATCATTCATTTTTAATGTTTTCAAAGTATTTATTGAGGAATCAAGTATGATATGATAATTAGATATCTACAAAATTAAATCATTATGTTTGTAATTAAATAATTTGTTTACTCTATTTGTGTGTGCTAATACTAGACTATAATATTCCAAATTTTTTGGTAACATGTTGCTATATAAATCATTTCTAAAAAAAATATTGTTAATTTCTCCAGAATTAACAATGGATTTTTAAAATTATAATCAAATTTTATAATACGCTAAATTGAGTAAATCTTTTTAACAACTTTGTTTTGATTGGTTCTTTTAGTTAAAGTAAATCATTAAAATTAAGTTCTGAATATTTCAATTGTAGAATCTTTTTAAACACCATAAGTTACTAGGAAATGATTACTATTATTTCTATTTAAGTTATCTATTACAATAAAAATGCAAACAAATATCTGATAAATTTACAGTAAATAGTTATGATAAAATTTCCTGACTGCACATATTAATCTTAACAATACAATTTTTTTAATTCTCATAAAATTTCCTATTTAATGATGTCAATTTTAGACTTGCAAAATGAGCTAAAAGGTTATGGTAATACATAACTTTTTTTTTAGTATAAACTGTTACAAAAATCAACTTTAAAAGATTAAAAAAATAGGTTAAATGCGTCATTTTCCTTATGTTTTACATATTAATAATCAAAATACGTTTTAATTTTAAACAATTTTTTTTTTCTTAATTATTTTTTTATATGTAAATACTTATTTTTTAATAATAAGTTATAATATTAAAACTTAGAAGTGAATGAAAAAGTCTAATTGCACATTTGAAAACATCGCAAAAAGTTGATTTAGAAAAGTATATTTTTGTTTCTGATGAAAGTTCCTTGTAGTCCAGTGTATAAAACATATAATTTTTTTATAAATAACAAATATTTTTTATTAAAAAGTATTGCATCAAGCCCTTTTAATTTTTATACGCGTTAAAAGTAAAAAAATATACAACTACTTTATTATTTTTAAAGTATCTCCGTAAAAAGTACAATATTAAATTATTGAATATCAATTTCATACTAAATTTAAGTAATATAATTATAAATCAAATAACTAATCGTGTTAAAATTAAGGGAATATGAGTTAGTGCTGCTTTTGAAATAATCTACCAATTTCTTAAAATTAAATAGTATCTGCAGATATGTATCGAAGCGTTTCCTATGATATTGATTTTAATCCCTGTCAGATATCATCTATACTTGTCCCAACTGTGCATACTTCCATACTGTACCGTGACCACACTGTGCTATCGCTTTTAGCTTCGATGCGAAGCTGAGAAGGTATTGGTTTTACTAAAATGTGTTTATTTTTTTTTTTTTTTT